TATATTATAATAATATTTATACTTATATATATATCTATAAGTACTAATATAAAAAATATGATATAAAAAATCATGAAAACTACAAATACCAAAATTATTATTTATGATAACGATACTTGTTCTACCTTATCAACAAAAAGAGCAATTCGATGAGATCGATTGATAAGTCCTTTGATCGAGCGATTCCTTCATTACCGATAATATCAACCAGCAAGTTAGTTACGAAGAATTGATTTTACATTTCTTTACATTTCTAATTATAATCTTCAATACAATTTTATTTTCTTTTACAATATCAATTTTCCATTTTAAATTTTCTTAAATAATACCAATATTCAGTCATATAATTTGAAAGTAATTTATATACTGTATATGTATATTCAATTGAAGGGAACTGTGTAATCAATTAAGTGTAACTATTGTAAAAAAAAAAGGAAATATATTTAGATAAAAAAATTAAATTAATTTGGTAAAAATGTCACTCGGCATATTTCACAGAAGATCGAATCTCGTTTTCAAACTAAGAAAACGAAATGGATCGATTAGTAATAAATTATCTGGTCAAATGTATGTTTTTCTCGCTAGAGGGCTAGACGTATCTAACTAATATGAATGTTCTTTTACGTAACGAAATGGATTTTGATAAACGAGAACCAAATGGCATTGAATAGTATCAATTCACTCTATTTTGTTCGCAGTCTTCGTTATTTTTTCAGTCTTATCTTTCTGTTTTTCCCTTTTAACGTAATTCTGGATGTAAAACGAACCAAACAAATAAAGGAAAATCAACGAATTTAAATTGAGCAGGAACGAAATAACTACTGGGTAATTACAATCGTTGACAAAGATTTGAAAAGTATGGACAAAGATAATGAAGAACTGAATTAATTGTAACGTCGTCAAGTATTTCTTCCACCAGAGATATTTGTTCATATGTGGTCCGATCGAAGTTAGCATGTAGTATGCATACATAATTATGTGAATGAACGCGTTGATGACACCTAACAATGTGCCATGGCCATTTGGTAGAAATCTGCAACCGATCCAACTGCAGATTGGCATCAATGTGTGATGGTACACGTGAAGCGATGAGACCTGACGATTCTTTTTACGAAGAACGAAGAATACTGTGTCCAATAATTCTATCAACTTGCATATGAAATACGAGTAAACAGCATTAGCCATCTGTAAATTATAATTTGATACGAGTTAATGTAACGTATTTTAATGTTCATTCATCATTTTATATAAGTGATGTTTTAATATATTAGCTTAGATAAAAATACTTTTAATCCATAATTTTAAAAATATTAAAATTTAAACAAAAAGTATTTCTTTTTCAATTTAAAATACATTAAAATATATTGTCTTAACATTATCTTGATTAAATTTTCAATGGTTTGGCATATTTGACAAATTTTGTGATAAACAATTCATTGAAAAGAATAAATCATTGACGTTGAGCCAATATAGCGAATGCGGAATTTAATACTAATTGAATTATTTACTTTTTTTTATTGCTTTAAGAATAATATAATTGTAAATTATATTATGGAGAATAAAAATTTCTTTGCATTTTGCTAATATCAATCAAATCTTTCTTTCTTGTTTTTTTTTTTTTTTTTTATTCAAAGTTATTGTTATCATCTAATTATTAAATTCTTCCATTATAAATTGCAATCGTGGTTATTTTTAACTTTGTCTAAAAAGTTTATAATCTAACCTAATCAAAATTTCAATTAAAATTTCTAAAAACGACATTATTTGCTACTATTTGTCGGACAATTTACAACTTTTAATAATTAAAAATAAAAAAGTACCCTTCTACTTAGTGGATTGTTCACATTGTAATCAACAGGCTGACAATAGTAATTGTAGTCGTACAACCATCCAGCCATCAATCCTTCGTAGAAGAGGTATATACTCAACAACACTTGAATAAAATTGTAAACAATCATGGCGATTCTTAGCTCGTACGGTTTTTTGTCCTTCATATATTTTGGTCCAGCTGATAAGCAAAAGTATAAATAACTGACGATTATCATCATCAGCGGACCTGGTCCTGACATCAAAAACCAATCTTTCGTTATTGGATCTGAAATTTATTAGAAATAAAACGTACGTTATGATGATACGAATCAGTTAAGTAAGTATGTAAATTATTTGTCTTATATACGTAGAAGATCAATAATAAAAATCTGCAAACTCGTCGAGGAAATATTATTTTAATAAAAATTTTGAGCGATATTAAACGATATTAGCCATATTATGTATGCAAAAATACATAATAGTTAATAATTTTTCCATTTTTATTATTACATCTTATACAATGCTTAATTTTTTTTTTTTTTTTTTTTTTAGTAATTTTAAAATAACTTACGGCTTTTATTCTCCATAACATTCTTATACAACTCTATGACTCCCGACATTGTTCTTGAATAATAACAAGAAAATCTGAAAGAAAAAATAAAAATTGGAAAAAATAATATTCCATCAAGAGATCTAGTTTTTTTTTTTTTCTTCTCTCTTGGATAAATACATTGATTTGAATATATAATTTTAATGATGATATGAATTCATCAATTAATATCTGATACGTGTAAAAATATTATATTTTATCCAATGTTTGTCTTCGAATATTTCGAAAGCAAATTTCTCGAAAAAAAGGCATGAGAGAGAGAGAGAGAGAGAAAGAATATTAATTGTAATACATGTAATCGTTGAAAATGAGAATAGATTCGAACTTCCTGTGCGAAATGACAATACAAGAGGATTATAATACAATAAAGGAATACAAAAAACCAACGCAAAAGTTTATGTATAAAAATTTCGATCGAAGTTTATTTATTAAGTTACAAGCGGTTTGCGTTAGACGAGGCGAGGCAAAAGTAGATGGAGATGATTTTTTCTCCGCTACGCGCGCCACCGTCGCATCTCTCGTCTCGTTTCAATTAACGTTTAAATTTAATTTGCTTATAACATAACAAATAAGGCTCAACTAACATTTCTTTATTACGAATTTTTCTGTTTGTTTTGACTTCTGGAATGGACTTTCCAAAAAGGTGTGTCACGAATATATTAACAGCCTGTATGAACCAATAGTTATCTGCAGGCTATCGCAATAAATAATAGTAGATAGCCTGGATAATAAATATTGAAGTTGACGTCCTCTTTTTATTTCACTTCAGACTTATTGTTCCTAAACAATATGTACTACAATATATAGAATTTTTGTATTTTCTACAATCGTATAAAAGTTGTAAGATATATTAATTCGCCTGTATTATTATTAAAACTTATCATATAATGAAAATATTATAAAACGTGTTATGAAATATAATGATATAAATGACCAAAGTAGTTGATCAATCTGAAACTTTAAAAGCTAAACTTTTTCTTATATAACGTTTCAGATAAGAATTACTCGATATCAAGCGAGGTACGTAACAATTGGTTCTCTTATGAGGCGCAAAGTCACTTTAGACATTCCCCTCCTTACAATATAAAATATAAAATATAAAATTTTCATTTTGCCACGAGCCTCTTCAACGATTGTGAACAAAAAAAAAAAAGAAAAATGAAATCCATCAGGTTTTGTACTTTTCCAAGCCAACTAATCAAACAATAGCGCGAGAGTCCTTGGTCCCACGACGAATTTCTTCGTTTTGTAATTATTTCTCAATTACAGCGGAATGCAATCAACGAAACTACAACTTTGCGTTGATACCACCTTTTTCTACCTATGCATATGGCCGAGAAAATTATGAAGACTCATTCCACGAGTAATATTCTTCGTCACAGTGGACCAGGCAAGGCTGTGTGACAATGGCCTTTCATTGTCGTGACGTGGTCTCGATCGAATCTTTTTCGATAGAGAGATACGGCGCGAAAAAATGTCGTCCAAAATGGAAGGACAAAGAAATACGTTTCCTTGTACGAGAGCTAAATTAACATTTATCGTAGCTCGTTAATGCGTTGCCAAATCGAGGCGCACGTGGTTAGCTGTACAAAGATGGCGTGCGTACAAAAAATAGATTAACCGTTTGTTCATTTTTTATTTTACGATGCATTGTGGGAATATCGATGCAAGAACATCATTATCGAGAATTTATATTTGCGATTTTAATTTGCATTGATGCGCTCTGAGCGATTAATCTCACAATTTTGAACAATTTTGTTCAATAAATATCGGTCTGTACGAGTAAAGAGAATATTTATATTTGGACAAAGTTTCGAAAAGATACGATAGTGGCGCGCTATAATCGATCACCTTGATTTCAAAAATAACGCGTTATTAAAAATTTTTTCAAATTTTCGACCATTGTCTCTTCCTCAAGGAACAAAGGCTAAATTTACATAAATAATATTTCACTTCTATTACCTACACATTATTTTTTATTAAATAAATTAAAACGGTACTCTTAAATTTTTCCCCCAGACAATTGAACGAAGGAATGAGTTAATAATTGAAAGAAATAACGAAATATGCAAGAAATTTTTATCCCATAATTTGCATAAACACAGTCAACTAATATCATCTTATTGTTGTTGATTAGTTGATTACAACGAGTTTCGTTCTTTCCATTCTATTATTAACCAAAGTATCAATCGTAATTGATTCGAAACAACAACCAAACTTTTCTGAACGAACAACCATACTCTGAATAAAATTAAAGAAGAAAAGGAAAGAAGAATAGGTTCGCTACGAAGTAGCGAACGAATACCAGTTTTTAATCTAATCTTTTACGGACAAAAATACAACGAATCATCGTTTGTATCATAATAACGTATGTATTATTTGCTCGATTAAATTCTTCTTCTTCTTCTTCTTAATATCAATTTTTTTTTTGTTTTTTAATTTAACAAATTATCGAAAATATAATAATATAATAATTGAAAGGAATCGAGATGGGAGATCGAGCATCGCGGAACAAAGAAATTGTTCAATGTCTCAAGGATGGAGGAACAAGGAATATAAAGAATCATGGACGAATGGGGGATGCAGCCTTGGTTGGGACGGTGGAGACTGAAAGGGCGTAAATATCTCTCCAGTTAGCAGTGAACCAAGGTGAACGGGATCGTTAACGTGCCACTGTTTTTCTCCGAGCCCCTTTAAAATCTAACTTCAGAGTTTAAAGGAAAAGAGGAGAGAGAGGAGAGAGAGAGAGAGAAAAGGAAACATCATCCATCATTATTACGTTCGCGATATCTAAACACGATGTTTCATGAGTGGAAGGACAACACGATTTACATAACCTTTTTCGATTCCTTTTTTTTTTTTTTTTTTAGGATCGTTCGATCCACCATTTCTCTGTATTTATCAAACAAGCATTTTCAAACCCTATGAAACTGATATATTAATCCTGCTGTAATTAAGATTTCCATCAAGATTTAAAAAGATTTAGTCGAGAAATTAATTGTCGGATAAAACCAAAATGAATCGAATCTGTTCTAATTGAAACGTGGATTAAAAAATGGATTGTGTAGTAAATAATTGATATATTCGAATGAGGTATGTGGAAAATTTAAGGAGTGGTTCTTACACGAGCATTAAAACAAAAGTTGATATGCAACCATTTTTTTTTAATATATATATATATATATAACTTGAATAACGTGTGTGTGTGTGTGTGTGTCCATATAAAGTTTGTTGAGGATCGATTTTTCGGTTTGTTACAATCATTGAAATTATTGTGTTGAAGTCAAAAATTACCGATCTATAAATTATTCATTACTTGTTTTACTGCACGTTGCCCAAGCTGCAAAATTGTTGTTAAACCGCGTTGAGCAACTCTCAAGATAGATAGAAATAAATTACACTCTGCCGTTCAAAATCATTCGTGAACCAAATGCTAATTAGATAAAGTAAACGATTAGTTAATCCGAGAGTAACTTGACTTATAATTTGCATTGTAATATTAGGTGGTCTCATAATAAAAATCACTTTAAATGCAAATCGTGGATGCAAAGGATTGTTCATCATAGCTTTTATTGTAAAATCGAATCGCAAGTTTTTATAGTGAAATAATCAATTAACGAGCGGACGATTGTTATTAAAAAAAATTTTTTTAACTTTATGAAAAATATTATACGCAGCAAAAATTAAACAATGCGATTTGTATTAAATCCTTCTGGTCCATCAGTAGAATCAAAAAATTGTCATTTTTAAGCAAAACGATCTTTTTAAAAATGCAAAGACAACAATAATTAACGTTAGGATTCTGATTCTTACGAGTAAAATATAAATATAAACATAAATCCGACTTAAGTCGTGATATAAAAAAAAAAAAATTATCATTTGTTTATTGAACTAACTTAACCTATCAAAGCTGATAATTTAACCTGAATTCAGCTTAAGAGAATCATCAAATTGCCAATCAATTGCTTATTAAAATTATATTCTTGAACGAAATGAATGAATCTACTCGATTTTTACAAAATAACGAATAAATATTTCGAAATAAATATCAAGAAACGTAAAAGGTTACTTGATATGTATTGATGTTGACGTTGCAATCGTTTGATTCATTTGTCACAATAAGCAGTAATTGCTTGAAAAGAAATAGAAAAAAGAAAAACATCATTTACTTAACTTAATCATTATTAGAATTATATCATTCACACGGTATTTCACTAAATAATTCATTAGTAATATCCTTCGATTTTATATAGAAGAAGGAACGATATAACATTTCAACAGTATAATATTATAAGCGAGTTGTTATACCGCAACAACTTGCGATTGGAACTGGCTGCATAGTCAATAGAGCATATTGGAAATCCCGTCTCGACACATACAAACATCGAAATTAGTCGAACTACCAATGCGTAAACTAGTTTGGTGGGAATATTTGCAAGGAATAAAGAGTGCAAAAGACAGAGAGTAAAAGAAGGAAAGGAGAGAGTGAGAGAGAGAGAGAGAGAGAGAAGAAAAAATTGGAAACGAGTTATACGTCAAGGTTCAAGGCAGGTGAATTCTATAAAATTATTGTTCCGTAATTCTACACTGATCATTGAGACTGCGTACACTGTGGGAGGAAAAGTATAAAATAAATAAACCGGTTGCACGAAACAAATTCCTCTGGCAAGCAAATACGATCAAAAGAAAACTGAAAAAATATAAAGTATTCGAGTATTCGAGCGGCTGTTCAATTATGATCATGAATCGATTCCTGCTTGATTAATTGTTGTTCCAACGACTTTATAGGTTAGGTCAGGTTAGAAAGGAATAGTCAGGATTGCTTAATTAGTATTTCCAGTATGAAGTGGTATGAAATGAAATATAATCCATCACATTTGGTGAACGTTTAACGAGGAATGGAATGTTTTCGAATAACAATTTCAATGAAATGTTCAAATAATCGATCGATACGAGTCGAACGAATTACACGTGTTTCGCACGTTCACGTATGTTAACTACGTTTCGCGTACTTAAACAAAGACTCAAGACTTTTGTATCGAGAATATAAAATTACTCGCGTTTCTTTTCGATTTTTAAGAGATTAAGATCGA